GGAAGGAAGGAAGGAAGGAAGGAAGGAAGGAAGGAAGGAAGGAAGGAAGGAAGGAAGGAAAAAAAGGACAGCTTTATTTTATTACATCCTTTGGAAACTCTGAAGTCTGTATTCCCTTATTGTGCATTTGCAGCCAAGAGAACATTCTTTCATGACACACACGCACACTACAGTTGGTTGAGAGTTGCCATGGGAATAAAACTTAAGCGTTGCAGCCTGCTCCAGAGCAGATACCAGCCCTTTTAGAAGGTCTCACCTTGATCGTCCAGCACTGAGGGGGTAAAATGCCAAGTTTGACTTCTGCATAGACTGTTTAGGAAAAAAGTACCCATGAAATGGCCTTGGAAAGTTCATTGGGGTGAATAGCTTCTTCCTCCTGCTCTTCTGACTCTGTTTGAGTCTGGGGTCAAATCCAGTAAAGGGAGCAAGAGTGTTGAGATGACCTGGGGTGTGACACAAAAATAACCAAGTCACAAAAATAGAATAAAGTTCCTTTAATGCCTCCAACTTGGTCCCAATGTCCAATTATCCTCGGCTGGAAATCAAGCTCTTAAAGAAAACAGTTTATGAAGGGAGTAAATGCAGTCTGCGCTCAAAGTAAAGTTAATACGAATTAAAAAAATCCAAACACAAACCACACTGAAGGAATTACTACTGCAGGCACGGATGATTAATTGCAGACGTCTACCAGACAACACAGCCACCCCAGTTGGGAGGAAGCCAAAACATAGATAAGCTCAGACTAGAATAAAACACGTGTTACTTCCAGCACTGGGCCGTGCTTAGTTTGTTCTTTTAAACAGTCCTCACAGCTGCAGCCCATGGAGGGGATCAGGGCCCTTTCCTCCCCTGTAAACCATGCAATTCCCATTGCTCCCCTATCGGTTCCTCCCTGCGTGCCCTAGGATGAAGAGGGGGTGAGGCCTGGGTCTTCCTCTGAAGGGGGCAGCATTAGTAGCAGCAATTGGCGGAACAGTTCCGCGTTGGTTGAAAGTGCCATAAATACCCTGCACTTCTTTTGTTCAGCCAACACGGTGAATCGACACCTAGCAGGAACATGGCCTTCTCGGTGATGGCATCTCTGTTCTGCCATGGTCTTCCCAGAGGGGATGGTGGTTCTATTGCAAAATCATGAGGGAAGTGGCGAACGCCAGTCCGCCTTTCTTTCAAACCGTCTGCATTTTCAGCAAAAGAAAATTTCAACTGGCCTTACGTCCCTGTACTTAAGTCATTTAAAGCATTCTGCGATTTATTGTTATTATTTTTTTCAGCTGGGTTTGTGCTGGGTTTTCCGAACGGTTTTGATTACCTTGTGATATTTGTGATTTTTGTTTCTGAATCATTATAAGATATCCAGAGAACTGGTCTCGCTAGGCAGCGATATACCTAAAGTAATTTAAAAAAAAATCAGTGAGAGACTGTGACCGCTATACATTGTAAAGCAATGCAAATATCATTTAATAAGCAACCTTAACGTCATCGCTAGCACTCTCCGCTTTCTCATCCCGCTGGTTTCACAGAAGTAACAAAATCAACTTGTTCCCAGCAATTTCATACCCACTTTTGGCTCGTTTTCTTTCTGTTTATCTGTTGTACTAACTAGAGAACTAGCTTGGTTCTATGGGTTTGCTTCCCCCTTGTGGCCATTTCTCTTACTACAAGCTTTCTGAACCGGATTTCGAAGCAAAGGAGGGATTGAGGAGGCTTAACCATGGTTTACTAAGTGGCCGTGGGGCTGAGTTTGCTCCAGATCTTGAAAAAGAGGCACCCCGGTTTCCACACAGCAGCAGCGCTTGGCTTCATACCACACGTTAAACCAGAGGCTTTGAGTGCCGTGTGTGAATCGGGCTATGGCGGTGCCAGGGGTGCAGCCAACCGTAGGGAAAGCAAATAGATCCAGGGCCCCCTTGGTGCTCCAAGTGGTTTGGTGGTTTTCTTGCAGACGTCTCATGACTCAGCTAGGCAACGTCATCAGTGTCAAGAGGGAGCAAGGGTTCGCTCTTGGGGAAACCTTTGTTAGGTGTGGAGAATCTGGAAATACAATGACCTGCTGGAGGCTGAAGGCTCTGGGATTTTTAATTCAGCATCTGGTTACCCAACTGGAGGAAACAGACTTGGTTTCAGCCACCACCGACTGATCGGCTGTGGCTCCTTTGTGTCCAGGCAGCCCCTCTGGAAACAGACCGGGATCCGGAGGCACATCCAGGATGGAAAGGAAACGTGGTTTCATTTCATTTAGCCGCTTTTCTGACAGTGAGAACAACCAACCGACGGAACGGAAGTTGCCCTCGGAAGTTGTGGGAGCGCCATCACTTGAGACCTTCAAAAGGAGATTGGACTCCCGTCTGTCAGAAACAGTGTAGGGCGGGGGGGTTGGACTAGATGACCTATAAGGTCCCTTCCCACTCTGATGATCTGTGATCTGTTCCCGGTTGCTTGTTTGAAGATCTGGGGAAGATCCAGGGTATTAGATATAGGAGTTAGTTCGCCTCCCAGCCCCTAGTTCGCCTCCCACCCCAACCCCTGGGGACAATGGGGTTTGTAGTCCACGGCATCCACAGTGGGCTTCTCCGCCCTGCTTGTCTTGGTAGGTCTCCCCCAAAAACAAGGCACCCTTCCTGGGAGCTCCCATCCCACTAAGGGAAAGGGGGGGGGGTGTAGGCAACACCTGACCTCCGAGGAGCGATTCCATTGGGCGGCTCTGCAGAGGAGGAGGAGGAGGGGGCTGATCGCCTGCTCTCTTAAGGCGCCCCCCCCTCCCGTGTACCCCTCAATCGGAAAGTGGGCTGGCTGGCTGGGGGGGAGTCACCCCCCCCTTCTCTCAACCTCGCCTGGGTCCCTTGGAGTCGCGATCCCGCGCGTGCGTAGTGGCGCGGAGCCTTTTTTTTTTTTTT